TCTCGTCCCACCTCACCTGCTCCAAACCTGAGGTTTTTGCACAAGATTATAGTCTCTTCCTGCTCCCTTTTCATCTCTAGGTTTTCCAGGAGGCACAGAAGCTCAAGAAGCAAAAAAGGGCCTTAAAAGCTAAAGCAGCAGCCCAGAAACAAGGCCAGAAGAACCCAGAGAGCCCTTCCAAAGCTGAACCAGAAGCAGTCAAAGAAAACCAATAAATTGATTAGAGTCCTATCTTCCGGCCTTGAAAGATAATAGGAGAGCAGGTGGGGCTCTGTGTGGCCTGAGGAGGAGGAAGAGGAACTCGTTCTTTCACTCAGCTCTGGGGTCCCAGGCTGTGGGAGGCAGAGCCTCTGCCCTCTCACACCAGAGGACACACTCTCACAACACACCTTACACACGCATAAACACGCTGTCATCCAAGTGACATTCCTGCAGAAGTAAGATTGAGCACCTAGCAGCACGGAGGAAGATGGCCGGCTGGTGGCCTGGCTGCCGGGTGACAAGGCCAGCTGGAAGAGTTGCCTTCTGGACTGGGCCCTGAAGAACGAGTAGAAGTTCAGCAGGCAGAAATGGGATGGGAAAGCAACCTGGGCAGAGGGCATTGCAAGTGCAAAGGCAAAGAAGTCAACAGGTGCACGTCCAAGGGGCAGAGGGAAGAGGAAATAAAGCTTGATTGGTAAGCCGAAGCTGGGTGCGAGAGGCTCGATATGCTGGCTGCCCTCTAGGGAGTGGGGAGACCTTCCAGAAGGAGTGATGACTGCACCAAGTCTCTGTTTTAGATGGTTAAGCAGCAGCAGTGTAGGGTAGATGGGAGGGGCAGACATTGTTTTGGGTTCAGGGGTACTGATGTTCAGGTTGAGAATCTGATAAAAAGCTACAAGTCCTATCCACAAGAAACTGCACACACATAAAACATTCCTTATAAATTCTGGGGAGTTCCGGATGCCTCTTTTCTTGCAAAGCTCACCCGTTCACACCAAGTGTCCAAGCCTTGGTGTCTGAGTATGCTTGGCGTGTTTGAAGAACCCAAAGAAGACAGTGTGTCTAAAGCTGAGTGAACAAGAGAAGAGTTAGGAAGAGATGAAGTCAGAGGGGAAAGCAGACACCGGAATATAGAGTTTTCTGGATGTATTCGACTGCTCAGGCTGCCGTTAGAAACCATAAACTGGTGAGGAACCTGGGTGGCTCAATGGTTGAGTGTCTACCTTTGGCTCAGGTCATGATCCCAGGGTCCTGGGATCGAGTCCTGCATGGGGCTCCCTGTGGGGATCCTGCTTCTCCCTCTACCTATGTTTCTGCCTTTCTGTGTGTCTCATGAATAAATAAAATATTTTAAAAGGGGGGGGAGATCCCTGGGTGGCTCAGCGGTTTAGCGCCCTGTTCAGCTCAGGGCATGATCCATTGAGCCCATCAGGCTCCATGCAGGGAGCCTGCTTCTCCCTCTGCCTGTGTCTTTGTCTCTGTCTGTCTCATGAATAAATAAAATCTTAAAAAAAAAAAAAAAAAGATCACACATGTGCAGTCTGCTCCAGGACCTTTAAAAAAAAAAAAAAAAAACCTGGCTTGAGGCTAGGAAGCCCGAGGTCTAGATGCTTGTCAATTCGGTTTCTGGTGAGGAATCTTCTGGTTTGCAGGTGGCTGCTTTCTGTGTCCTCAACATGCAAGGGTAGACAAGATCTCTTCCCTTTATAAGGGCACTAATCCCATCATGAGGATCCTACCCTCATGACCTCCCCTAATTCCTAATACCTTCTAAAGGCATCCCCTCTAAATACCATCAGTTGGGGTGTAGAGCTTCCGTTCATGAATTTGAGGATGTATACAAACAGTCGCAACAGTGGGGGAAAGACTTTGGACTTCATTCTGTAAAGGAAAGCCCAAATAAGGGGAAGATGTGTTAAAGTGGCATCCAAAGAGCAGTTGGAAACATCCAGGACTGCAGCAAGGCCTAAGCTGGAGACGGGCTCAGGGCTTGGGTTTACACGGTGATTGAAGCCACAGGTGTTGAGTGAAGTTGCCCAGGGAGAGCATGTAAAGGAAGAAAGGGCCATGTCAGAATGGGTAGGATGATCTCCAGGCATATTCTGCCTCTGGAGAAGCTGGGGGCGGAGGGAGGTGATGTGACAGGAGAACAGAGCCTGGGGTCCTGTGGAATCAGAAGTGAGATGAAAGGCTCAAAACTGCAGCCTCGCTGTTCAGATGTCACCTCCAGGAACAGTAGGGAAGGCCTATGGGGCAGGACTTTGAGTGGACGCAGCTACGTGGAGAAACCACACTGGAGGGTCAGGTGCCGCCATGGGGTGGGGGGGTGGGTGCTAGGGAAGGTGAGAAAAGGGATCCCATGGAACAGGCCCTACAGGAAAGGCATCCTAAGGGCTGCCTTAGGCACAGCATCTCTAATCCTTGAGGCCACCTTCCTCCCCCATCCACCCCCTCTTGGCATGGTTATCCTCAGTTTACCGTGTGAGAACTGAGGCTCACAGGTTAGGTAACTTGTCCAAGTTCACACAGCTGGTTAGAGACAGGCCTAGGAATCCGGGCCGCACCTGTCTTTACTCCAAGCCTGCATTCTGCTCATCCTACCACACTGCCTGGGGGCAACAAGCGGCCTGAGCGGCTATGGGAGGAGTCGTGCTATAGCATAGCAACGAGCTATCGAGCTATCGGCAGCTTAACCTAAAGTGTGAACCCGGGCTGCTCGATACATTCCTATCCTAGTTATTGTCCCTTTCTTTTCTTTTTTTAAGATTTTATTTATTCATTCATGAGAGACAGAGGGAGAAGCAGGAGTCCAATGTGGGACTCGATCCCGGGGCCCCAGAATCACGCCCTGGGCCGATGGTACGTGCCAAACCGCTGAGCCACGCAGGGATCCAGGGATCCCCATTATTGTCCCTTTCGAAACCGCATGGACCAGGCAAAATCAAGTTAAAGCCCTGGACTACCGGCCTTCAACTACTGTATAGCATCTAACGCTGAGATGGTTAAGGACCAAAAGGTCTTCGTGGTAAAGCAGTTTCGGTGGGATGGAGCGTGCGGACTCCTAGTTGCAGTGAGGTAGGAAGCGAAGGTGTTAAGGAAACGCAGGTGGTGACTGTAGACTGCCCTTAAAAACTTGGCTGGGAAGGAGAGGGGACCAGAGAAGGTGTGCTAGGACTTGAGCTTGGGCAACGTCAGGGCAAAACTGCCAAGGTAGGCAAGGTGGGGAGGAAGAGGTGATGTGCCACTGAGGAGGCAGAGCCCACGAGGCAGAGGAGTTTCGCCGGATTAGGGGCAATGATCTCCAGAAAGGTAGTTGGAGGGGCGCCTGCGTGGCTCAGCTGGTTAAGCGATCCAACTTTCAGCTCAGGTCTTGATCTGAGTTCAGGTTGTGAGTTCAGGCCCCACGTTGGGCTCCACAATAGCTGCGGAAGCAACGTTAAAGAAAAAGTAAATAGGGATCCCTGGGTGGCGCAGCGGTTTGGCGCCTGCCTTTGGCCCAGGGCGCGATCCTGGAGACCCGGGATCGAATCCCACGTCGGGCTCCCGGTGCATGGAGCCTGCTTCTCCCTCTGCCTGTGTCTCTGCCTCTCTCTCTCTCTCTCTCTGTGTGACTATCATAAATAAATAAAAATTAAAAAAAAAGAAAGAAAAAGTAAATAGGGGAGTTGGAGGCCGAGTAGAGCGCGTCGAATGCCACATTGAGGCATTTAGACTGTGACCCCGCAGACAGTTGGGAGCCCCCCAAGGGATGCGTCCCATCGACCATGGCAACTGCTAAAATTCACCTGAGCAGCCAGTGCTGGAGGGAGAGGGCAGGAGCAGGGAGGAGCATCCTAACGCGGGCAGAAGAGATGGATGTGAGAACGATTTGGGGGAGCAGAAGTGGTGACTGGTAACAGCGCCCGGGAGACAGAGTTGGGAGCCAAGGCCCAGGTGTCGCCCCGATGCCGGGAGGGGGAGGATTCGCAGGTTTCAGAAGTACTGAAATCCGCAGAAATGGTTGCTCATCCAAGGAGAACCGCACAGCCGGCGCCCGGGACGGGACGCGGGGCTCCGGGCGGCGAGGGAGGGGTCTCCGCCCTCGAGCGGGGCAGTAACGGGGCAGTAACGGGGCAGTAACGGGGCGCCGCAGCCCCCCGCCGGCTTTGCTTCACCCCAAGCAGCTCTTGGGGCGGAAACGCAAGGTCAAGGGCTTCGGGCCCTTTCCCGGTTCCAAAGAAACGTCCGTTACCAATTTATGGAGCATTTCGGGGCATTTCGCGCAGTCCGGGGGGTGGAGGACCGGCCTCCAACACCTGCCCAGGGCCCCAGGGCCCCAGGGCCCCAGGGCCGCGCCGCTAGGGACGGGCGGAGTCCTGCTCCGGCTTCCCCGCTCTCGGCCGGGGGACTGGGGGGCCGGGGATGGGGGGTCTGGGGACCCGGGGTTGGGGCGTCTGGGAGCCTGGGGGGCCGGGGATGGGGGGGTCTGGGGAGCCGGGGGACTGGGAGGACCGTGGGGTCTGGGCGGCCAGGGCCTAGGGGGAGCGGAGAACCGGGCGGCCGGTCGGGGGGACTGAGGGGACTGGGGGCCGGGGCCTGGAGGGCCGGGGCCTGGGGGGGGCGGGGAGCCGGGGGCCGGAGCCGGGGCCGGGGCCTGGAGGGCCGGGGCCTGGGGGGGGCGGGGGGCCGGGGGCCGGAGCCGGGGCCTGGAGGGCCGGGGCCTGGGGGGGGGGCGGGGGGCCGGAGCCGGGGCCGGGGCCTGGAGGGCCGGGGCCTGGGGGGGGGCGGGGGGCCGGAGCCGGGGCCGGGGCCTGGAGGGCCGGGGCCTGGGGGGGGCGGGGGGCCGGGGGCCGGAGCCGGGGCCGGGGCCTGGCCCTGCAGCCAGCGCAGGAGGCACCAGCAGCGCTCCCACCAGCGGCCCCAGCCCCGGCGGAGGCCACGCCCCCTCCCGCCCGCCCAATCAGCGTCCGCTCCCGAGCGCCTCCCAACAAACGGCTCGCTGATTGGCTGCTTCTGCCGCGGCCGCGTCGTCCCGGCAACCAGACAATCGGACGCGACGGCGGGGCGGCGGGGCATCCAGGTCCCCGGCTCCCCCGCCTCGCCCCCCGTCCCGGGCTCCGCCGGCGTCTGGCACCATGTCGGTGCGGACACTACCGCTGCTCTTCCTGAACTTGGGCGGGGAGATGCTTTACATCCTGGACCAGCGGCTGCGGGCCCAGAACATCCCGGGAGACAAGGCCCACAAAGGTGAGAGGCGCCGGGCCCCCGCCCCCCGCCCCCCGCCCCTGGCCCCGCGGACCGGCCGGCACCCCTGCGCCGCGCGCCGCAGCCGGGGACCTCTCACAAAGCCGCGGGCCCCTCGGGGCTCCAATGCCCCAAAAGATTGTTTTTTCACAGCAGAAGGATTTAATGCCCGCTCTGGGGTGTGTCATTAGGGGACCTGACCACCACCCCGTCTATTTCCCCATCGCCTCGCATTGGAGGGATGACCCCCGCACCTCGACCACCGATCCCCCCCCCCCCCCGGTGTAGGAGACCGAGCTACCCACCCCCGGGCGGCCCGCGCTGCTAGTGCAAGCAGCCTCCGCCGCCCACACCCCCCAGCAGGTGCCGAGCCCCCCCAACCCGTCCTCCTCCCCTCTCCACCCTCCTCCCGAGCTGGAGACCAGGCTTGCTGATCTCAGAAGCCATTTCTAGAAAGGTGGGGCTCTGAAATAACAGATTAATAAGAAAACATACGAAAGTCACATTATTCCCTTCAGAGTGGTTGGAAGAGAAGGCAGTTCTGGAGATAATTCTCTGAGAGTTTCCAAAACGCAAGATGCATCGCCCCCTCTACCCCGCACCTAACCCTCGGTTCAAATGACCACCCAGAACTCTGCCGCCTTTTCCTCCTCCAAGCCTCCTGGGATGAATGAAGTAGGAAAGAACTACTTACATTTCTTTCTTTCTTTCTTTCTTTCTTTCTTTCTTTCTTTCTTTCTTTCTTTCTTTAAGATTTTATTTATTTATTCATGAGAGACAGAGAGAGAGAGAGGGAGAGGGAGAACTGGGTTCCCTGCAGAGAGCCCCATGCAAGACTCCATCCCAGGACCCCAGGATCAGGACCTGAGCTGCAGGCGGACGCCCAACCGCCGAGCCCCACCCCCAGGCACCCCAGAACTATGTATTCCAAGGTAGAGAAAGAGAACTTGGTACAAAGGAAACTAATACAACCCCACATTAAACTTTTAATCCTCTCCAGCAGTCCGCACGCTCAACTGATGTTAAACGAACGCATTCAGATGTTAAGCATACATATTCAGATAATCACTGCTGCATCTGTGCGATGGAGCCCAAGTCCACGCACAAAGAGATGAACTCCCTGTAGCATGCCCCCACCATCCCCGTTCTGCACAGCGCTGCCCATGAGCTTTCTAAAATGCGAATCTGTCCATACTCCCCACTACTCAAAACCCTTTGTCAGCTCTCACTGCTGTTTGGATGGAGACAAGTCTTTGGCAGGACGTTTAAGGGCCCCTGCTGACCTGATCTCTCCCCACCTCTGCAGTCCCACCTCCCACCACTGCCTGTCTCCTGCTCTGTATCATAATAACACCAAACGGCTTGCAGGTCTACATGTAAAGCATGTTCATTCACGTTTCCGTGCTAATAATCCCCATTCTACCCCAAACGTCCCATTTCGGTGCTAATAGTTCCCGTTCCATCCTGCATTATTCAGCTTGAGAATCAGCTCCTTCAAGGAAGCCTCCCCACACCAGGAAAGGGTCTGAGAATACTCCCATAGCACCCCATGCTTGCCTCTCCCTACCTTTCCCTGGTCTGTGGGTGTCTCCCCCGCCCATGATTCTCTTACTCAGCTTCGTCCTCCTGCACCTAGCACAGTGCCTAGACCAGAATAAATTGATGTTCAGTCAATGTCTGTTCAACTGATGATCCAAACTGGCTGTCTTATATGATGTTGCCGTTTCGTCCTCAAGAGGGTTCTGTTTTCCTTGGTACCTATGTTCTGTGATTTCATTCAGGCTAACGGCCGGCACCAGTGAGCCGGCAGGTAGTCCTTGCACCAGCGGTCTGCATCTTGGAAAGCGGCGTTAAGTTAGCCATTAAGAGCATACTCTGCAGTCGTACCATTGGGTCCCAATTCCAGCTTTGCCATTTTACTAGTTGTGGGACCTTGGAGTGTAAACCCTCTATAAGCCTGCTTCTTTTTCCATAACATGGGCATCATACAGACAGCAAAGTTGTAAGAATTGAATGAGATAATGTATTCACCATGTTTAACACAATGAGGAGGTGTTGGCTTTCAAGAGGGGATCTGAGCAAGACCCTGTGAATATGAAAGGACTGGCTTCCCTTGTCTTCAGGAGCTATAGTCCTTCTGGGTTTGCTAAATGCCGCTTTAGGGAGTTTCGACCATTTTTAGAAAGTCACATTCACACACTCATTCCTCCCTTCCGCAGTGTAAGTGAGTGTGAGACATGATGTGCGATGCTGGGTGGAGCCTGCTGCAGCCCTTCTGTGCATTCACTGGAAGTAGGGCTCTGGATCCATCTCATCTAGTAATGATTCTCAAGGTGGGGGACATACCTTCCTAACAACAACAACAACAAACACATTAAGCACTTAATGTGTACCAAGGACTCCTCTGACGACCTTAATCCCCACAACTATACTATCATGTGGGTCATACTATCCCCAATTTACAGATGGGGATACTGAAGTTAATTTGCCTGGGGTTACATAGCCAGAGAGAGAGGAAGAGTAAAGGATTTGAACCCAGGTCATCAGGCTCCAGAGCTCATCCTCTTAGCAGATATGTCCTTCACCACTGGACCCTACTTCCATATTTGGGGGGACTATCAGAATCTTTGAGGGCGAGGGGGATGGGAGGTCAGAAAGAGAGGGAGAGCTCTGAAAAAACATCGTCCAGTGGACCCACTGATTTCAGGAAAGAAATGACAGAAAGTAAGCGGCTCATGGGGACTTGCAGAAGACAGAAAACAGGGTCGAGGGTGTAGGCTTCAGAAAGCTGAGAAACCCCCATCTATCCCACCCCTGAGAGCTGGCGTAGCTGCAGGAGTCACTGTGACAATTGCTAGTGTGCCCAGAGGCCTGTAAAACACCAAACAGGGTAAGCAAGTCCTAGTCGATGCTGTGAATGGAAATCATATCTCTTCTAGGTGTTTTCATTATCTTACAGGACTAATTGGCCTCCTGGAGGCCAGGCCTGTCCCACAAGGCCAATGAGGATCCTGCTGTTTCCACCACAGTGCAGCCTCTAGTTTAGCATTCAACAGAAAGGAAGTGCTCTCCGCGTGGGGCAACTTTTGAGTGTTGCATAGGAATGTCGTCCCCCCCCCCCCACCTTTTTTTAAGCAATAGCAAGAATAATAAGAGCGGTCTTTGCCTCACTCAGGCCTCACTTGTGGCCTCTCAGAAATCCTCCTAAATAAGACCCTATTACATTCCATTTACATTCCTCATTTTACAGAAGGGGAACCTGAGACACCCAGCCGGTAAGTGATTTATATCCCCCCCACGCAGGACGAGCACATCACAGTGAAGCCCTGAACGCCCCCAAACACGGTGGTGAGGTTCAGTTTTTATTTTTCTAGTTCCAGCTTCACAGGCAGCTCTGGGCAGCCTTGGGCCTTCCTCCCACTCGGAATGTAACTAAAGCGACGCTGGCCCAGGCAAGTCCCCCGGGGCGCCAGCACAGAAGGGCGGGACGTGGTTCCCTGCCCCGGGAGCCCCAGAGCCCCGGGAGGACCGCGCGGCGCTGCGGCGCCCTCTGCCGGAGCTGAGCGTCACTGCCCGCAGGAGCGCGTTGGGGGACCTCGGTCGTTGGCGGGAGCCCCTGCCCCCCCACCCCACGCCGGGAGCCCCTTGTGGCAGCACCCCTCTGAATTCCCACAGACCCGCCTGTGAAATAAACGCCACCCGAATCAGAAGCTGTGGACTTTATGCCAAAGAAGCCAGCACCTGCTCTAAGAAGGCCTGGCCCTTGCTGCAGCTTCCCCAGGGCTCCCTCTCCAAAAGCCCCTGACCTGGCAATGGGAAGCCTTTGCCGCCAGCTAGGGCAGGGCAGGGCTTTCAGACAGGTGTCTCAGGTGTACTGAAGGCGCCCGGATGCCTGACCTGGTTACAACCTCAGAAACCCCCCTCCGAAACAATCCAGGGCAGTTGCTTCCAGGGACCGTTAGCTACAAAATGTTTTTTTTTTTTTAAGATTTTTATTTATCCATGACAGACACACACACACACACACACACACACACACACACACACGGGGGGGGGGGCAGAGACACAAGCAGGTTCTACGCAGGGAGCCCAACGTGGGACTCGATCCTGAGTCTCCAGGATCCTGACCTGGGCCAAAGGTGGTGCTAAACCGCTGAGCCACCTGGGCTGCCCCAAAATGTTTTGTTTTTTTTTTTTAAGATTTTATTTATTTATTCATGGGAGACTCAGAGAGAGAGAGAGAGAGAGAGAGGCAGAGGCACAGGCAGAGGGAGAAGCAGGCTCCATGCAGGGAGCCTGACGTGGGTCTCGACCCCGGGTCTCCAGGTGCTAAACTGCTGAGCCACCCGGGCTGCCCTGCCCCAAAATGTTTTTAAAATGTGGCTGTGTTTAGAACCCTGTTTAGGGATCCCTGGGTGGCGCAGCGGTTTGGCGCCTGCCTTTGGCCCAGGGCGCGATCCTGGAGACCCGGGATCGAATCCCACATCGGGCTCCCAGTGCATGGAGCCTGCTTCTCCCTCTGCCTGTGTCTCTGCCTCTCTCTCTCTCTCTCTCTCTCTCTCTCTGACTATCATAAATAAAATTAAAAAAAAAAAAGAACCCTGTTTATGGGGTTGGGTTGGTGTTCTAGGTTGATATCTCTCCCCCCCCCCCCAAAAAAAAGAAAGAAGGAAAAAAAGAAAGAAAAGAAAAGAAAGGCCATATTTCAACCTTTATGGATGGGGTCCAAAGCTGTGATGTAGAGAAAGCAGAGCCAGCTAAGTGAGGCCAGCTAAGTAACTGCTCAGTGTGTGTCATCCATTTCCTCCCCACAGCAACCCCATGAGAGAGATGCAGTGATGATCCCCATTTTACGGATGAAGAAATTGAGGTCCAACAAGTTGCTGGAAGTTACATAGCTAGGAAAAGGTTAGAGCCAGGTCCCAAACCACAAAGGGTCTTGGTTCTCACAGATTCCTCCAGCCAAGCACATTTTCCTTCATTTGCTCTCCTCTTCGCTGCCT